TAAAGATACTTAAAAAAAGAAAATTTTAAAGAGCAAATAAAAATAATTATTGAACACTGTGCCAACAAAGCTCTTGTTCAGTTAGCAGAATACCTTAAATCATCGCCTTGTTAATACAACAAAGATAAACTAGGCACATTTTGTTGTACCAGAAGTTCCATCTCAAAAGATAAAACAATGATTGACTGAGCAATTATATAACTTATATTATCAACTTCCTCAATCCACGATGATTTTATATAACTCTCATGTCTTATTATAATCTAACACTTCAATGTAACAAGAGTAAAATAGTAATAATTATATACTTATTTAGGTTAACTCAATTAGGGAGGAAATATTTGATCAGTTTACTATTTGAGATGTAATTATAATTATTAAATCAGCATTATGATATTCAAGTGCTTTGGTACATATATTGGCTGTAGTCATCTCTAAATGTGTGGGTAACAGGTGGTCATTCTGTCTGCTTCAAGTCTGTTATCAATTTGGATGACTGACAAGCAGAATTTTCAGTGGCAACCTCTTATTTTCTTTACTGAGGCAATGCAAAAATTGGACCCACAAAGCAAACAATATAACATATAAAGTAAACCTTTCGCATATTTAATAATGGGCAAAGGCCAATCCATCTGCGAAACTCTAAATCAGACAGCTTGGAAAAGTTAAGAAAGAACAAAATAGGCAACCGAATTGTTTTGAGAGACCTGAAACCAGTCAATGAAACCATGGAGGCCTTATGCGACTTCTGGCATGGAGAGAATTATGGTTAAGGAAACCAGTCATTTGACAAATTAAGGTTTTGAAATTTACATGTCTTGGTGTACAAATTGGCAATAATTCAATCAAAATGTGCTGCAATATTCTAGAACATTTACAGTTTCTTACTATTTTTTTACAATCTTTGGACTGTTGGACCAATGCTAGATTTGAGGACTCAACATAAATTTTTAATTTTGAAGGTCGAGACTTTTTTTCTTTGAAAGTTAAAAATAGATCATGAATAGAATAGATGAGAAATTAATCATTTTTTTTTCACTAAATAAATGTATCCTTGATTTCAGTTTCATTTTAATTCAACTATTCACATTCTTTTGTCATGTTCTTCCACAAATAACAAACTTCTACTAATGTCATTGTCAATTTCAAAATACCTTTGATATATAAAAGAATTTTCACTACTTAATTGTTGACAATCGTCAATGACATCTTAAAGGTCTATTATTATATGAAAAAAATATGTTTACTTCCTTGTTCTATTTTAAAAAAAACATACAACAAACCTTTAAACAGAAGTTTAAAACACTGAGCAATAATGAATACAGGACATATTGGAAGGTGGGGCATGTGTTGACAGTCACCCAAAAATACAATAAAACTTGATAACACATATCATATAAACCTTAACATAAATGCATAGATTTTACTTATTGCTTAAGACTGTATGATGACCTATAGTTGCTAACATCCACTTCATTTGGATTCTGGTGGATAGTTTTCATTGGCAATGACATACCACACCTCTTCATTTTTATATGTGCATTGTATAGGGGTCATTATAGCTGACTATGCGGTATGGGCTTTGCTCATTGTTGAAGGCCGTACAGTGACTTATAGTTGTTAATTTCTGTGTCATTTGGTCTTGTGGAGAGTTGTTTCATTGGCAATCATACCACATGTCTTTATTTTTATATATGTACATATATGGATGTTCTAAAAATAATCTAAATGTGCTCATACATCATGTACATGTGTACCATATCATGACATGTGCTCAAACATCATGTGCATGTGTACCATATCATGACATGTGCTCATACATCATGTACATGTGTACCATATCATGACATATGCCAAGCTCTTAATCAAACTGGGTTGAAACAAGTTGTGAATAATTTTAATTGTATGTGCCCTACTTACACATTGTATAGCTTAAATCTTATTCTTGACTTTGGTCGAAGAGCTTAACCATGTTAACCAATTATAACTCTATTGCAAAATGTAGTTCGTGATATATGATCTGAATATTGCTGAAGTTGTACAGTCATAACATACCATGGGGGTGGATGTAAATGTGCCACAATGTGTAGAGGGTGTCCTCAATCATATCTATAAAGTGTGCCTTCATGTTTCCGGTGTGTAATAAAGAGTATATTGTATAAAATGTGCATTTTATTAGGGTATCTTTCTAAATTGCATCTTCAATTCACACTTACAGAGGACACTTTATGAAGCACTGAAGTAAATGTAACATAAAGGCATTTAAAAGAGGATGCTTCATGCAACACTGATGTAACATGAAGACATTTCGAAGATGTTTATAAAATACTTCATGCAGTGATGAAGTCATAACTCATCAAAACAAAAAGACATTTCAACTGGGACATTATTCATGTTATTTACACTGTTTATATCTCCACTGTTGAACTATACCATCTTACTTTTACTTTATAATGCCACATTTTAAAATACAATCTAGACATTCAGATTTGAAATGTCTGAAACACTATATTTATATAAAAATCTAATGCTTATATACATGTTTATCAATTCAACGATTTAGAGTACATCCTAATAAACCTGATGTCATACATTTTGTGATCTGATCTCATTGTTTACGTCAAAGCTAAAATCAATGCATTTCAAAACCTAATTAGGCTTGAAAACACTAACATATGATGGAAAATCTAAACATCAAAACAATAACAATGTAACTGTGTATACCTAAAATATCAGAGTAGTAATTCTAACATCTATGTATGAAGCTGAACCTTTCAAATTTCATGATACATTTGTTTTGTTTATTATAATGACATTTTCAATTCTTACATACTGAAATAGTCATACGATAATGAAAACAAGATAACACGAAAAGAAGGGATATGGTGTATTTATGCTTCATGGCAATTTCCCTCGCCTTCACACACTTAATACAACACATATCAAAAGAGCATTTCTTTTTATTGCTGTGCTTCAACTTAAATTCACCATAGCTCCTGCAGACGCACAATGTTGCATCCAGACAAAACATATCATGGGTCAAGAATGTGTGTATGTGCCTTAAAGAAAACACTGCAAAGTGATCATGCAAGTGTTTTCTTGTTTTTTTTTCAGATTGTTACCACATCATGCACATTAAGGACAGATATTTATATATAATTAAGGTACAATGCAATAGATACCAGGTGAGGTATTAACAATTGATCAATGCCTATATTACCATAGACAAAATAATGGATTCATTCCAAAAATAGACAAAAATCAGCTATCATAACCATAGAAAAGTAGTGATCCAAGGTTTTGTCCACCAAAATTTGCAAAGGACAGACACAATTTTGGTAATTTGCAATAGAAATAATTGTGAGGAACAGCAGATTTTCTTCAAGGACTACCAGGGAAAAAATATTTTGAGAACTCTGCATAACAAAAGCTATATTTACCACAGGGAATTTCCTAATACCAAAAAATCTGGAAACTATTTGTTTTCCTCATCAAACTTTTCTTAACACAAAAATTAGTAGTCTGGTAGTAAGAAATGCTAGCCCAGGTGTCTGGTTAGACTAAGTGCTGTTTTTTACTCCTGTGAATATTTCATTTCAAATAATACATGTATATATTCATCTTCTTAAGCATGTTAAGAAGTTGTTGCAGTTTTCAAATATTTTTGCTTTTTCAAATTTATAGTATTTGTCCAAAGCTTAAACACTGAAAAGATATCCTTAAAAAATTTAAATTCTAGCTTCATTTTGAAAACTGTAACCCATTCATCTGATTAGTGTAGGGTCTGAATAAAGTAAAGTTTGCACCATGTTGCACCCTGAGTGGTTTTTACCCATTATTTAAAACAACACAGAAAACAGTTACAAATTAATTTTATTTAGTCTTAGATTATGAGCTGTTTTTTTCTTCAAATAAGTTTTATGTGTATTTGTCAGACCAAAAATGATGAAATGATAAATATGTGTAACAATTGTATGTGTATTTTACAGCTGGTTATACATGATATACATGTATGTGAATATTTCTAAGTCTTTGCATCACCAAGAGATAAAAGACAAATATAAGAAACCTGCTGCTAATATTGCAAGAGACAAATGGTCTTACTGCAAATTGCAAACTACTACTTCTACACAAAATTTCTGCATAACAAAACAAGTATATATATATAGCTGATATTAGCAAGTATTTTTGTATATTCTAATTGACTGGAAATTGTGTATTCTAATTGACTGGTGATTGTATATTCTAATTGACTGGTGATTGTTTATTCTAATTGATTGTTGATTATACAATGTATATAATAATTTATTGTTGATTGTATATTCCACATTGATTGAGAATTGTATATTCTATTTGAATGCTGATTGTATATTGTAATAAATATTTGAGTCAAAATATCAAATAAACAATGTAATTCAATAAGATAAAATATTGAATCTTGTAGAATCAATAGAAACATACATTTGCACAACAATACATGTATATAAATGTATCTTATGTGCAAACTACGACCTGAATAAGTTTATTAAGACTGAACTTTTAGCATTAATTTGTTATTTAAAAATATGTATGAACAAAATAAAAGTTCTGTTTTACACTTAAAAAATTAAATTTTGATGAGGTTATTTATAAAAAAAATATCATTTTTATATTTTACAAACTATGCAATTGCAAGAGCGAACATGTAATCTCATTGGCACTAGTACCACATCTTCTGATTTATATGTAATCTCGGCAATACATCCTGTTTTTGGATATGCCAACCTAACTAATGCGAAACAGTTGTTAAAATTGGACAAATATCAGGAATAAATCAAGCAAATGTTGGATATTTCTGGCTTTACACCTGGTTCCACTATTTTAGTAAAATATCTGAAGATAAAAAGGGTTATGACAAGACAATCTGGTCTCCAATGGCAATTTACCTGAAAAGGATTAATTTTCATGTATATATATAAATGATGAAATTAAATCACTTATTGCATCCCTTCTTCACTTACCGATCTAAATATTTTCCATGGACCACTCAATCGAAATTTATTCTCAGGAGGGGATTTTACCAACCAACCCGAATACACAACGTTCCCGTTCGCTATTTTGCTCATGTTTATGTCTGTCACAGTTTTCTTTAGCACATATTGCAATTAAAAATCAAAAAGGTTGTCTGTCTTTAAGTAATCCACTACATTTTCGTTAAAAACATCATAAAATAGAGAAAGAGAAAACAAACTTGACACAGTTGACTTGATACAGGAAGCACTCTTCTCGCTTCGTGATCATTTCCGGAAATCTTATAATTTGTCTTCCTCTGTCTGATTGGACCGATCTCGAAAATCCAACCAATCAAATATTTTATTTCATTTTATGATCTGAATACACAGATGAAAGAAGAAGCAAAGAAGTTTGGTTGTTTTAGTAAATTTTAGGTATGCGAGTAATCAATTATTTAAATCTTTCAGCTGACGATTTTCAATAATTAACGGTATAAAAAGCTGAAATAGGTCTCAATGGTTTGTCTTTTTCCATATATAATTTATTTCACACTCTAGAGTAGTACTAGTAGAGTCCTTCATCAACACAAAATATTGAATCACAACTGGTCACAACTGGGCTACCTTTGTTATGGATAAAGACATATCATAGAACAATATAAGACAGGTATGCATTTTAGATTGAAATAAGTCTGTTTCAGTGGCGGCTATAAGTTACAGTCCAGTCGTATAGACCAAAATGATTTATTTAGGACGATTGACCCAGTTCTGCATAAACGATGCATACATGTCATTGAACATTCGGTTCTTACTGTGATGAATTGACATAAGCATTGTGACATTGGAAATGTATCCTACCGTAGTCTATAATCGGTCATAACGTTGGTTCGTTCGGATTTTGTTATTGTACTTATCATACGGGAAAACTCCGCATTGACGTCACTACGCTAATACCAGCGTATAAAATTAGTGCAGAATACATTTTTTCTAAATAAAATGATATCTCTAAAGATATGTTTTCATTATTATTCTTAAGTATTGTACAAAAATACAGATTTTCTAATGGCCATTTCAAACCTGACTTCCGAATGCCTAAAAGCATTTCAGAACTTAGGAAAACCCCTCTTCCGGCCTCCATTGCTTTGTTTACATTCCATTGAGCGTCATCAATCTTAATGGCAGACCAAACAGGCCAAGCAAATCGTATTTTTAAGAATTTCAAAATGGCAAGCACCTTACGTCTTCCGCGATTTTCCCGCGAAAAAAAACATCCAAATTGAAAGAAAAACTTTGGGAAACAAACGATAATCATGTAATGTTTTTGTTCAGGAATATAGAGTAGGTTAAGAAAAAACAATATACATATATTTTTCATAAAAAAAAAATTGGTTTAATATAAAGAGATCGATATTCTGACCATAAGTAAATATTCATATAAAATTCCATTGATGTCAAATTTCATGGCTAATAATGAGTTTTCCTATTGAAGAATCCCCCAATTTATTGCAAACTATTTCAAAGCAATATCATACAAACAAATAATATAATTGCCTTGTACTAAAAAATCACCTAATTGACAGTAGAGCAATTTGATTGGATATAACGATTCAATGTGTCACGTGGTTTTGAAGCCATTAGAATTTGAATGTAAACAAACCGGGTCAGCTGCTCCCGTATGGAACAACATCGTACATTCAGTGACTGAGAAACAATTATGAGCAACCAAGCTTGACAATACACAGTAATAAAAAAACAAAACTAAGTCTACAGAAAAATAAAATAAAAAATGGCCTTAAGTGCACGACTTACCACCATTGCGGGATACAGGAAAGTGCACAAATTAAAAGTCTTCTATTTCAAGTTCTTTTTTTATGAATGATGTCAGTCGTCAGAATAAGCCATGTACAATCGACATTTACATGTAATTTGACCAAATAACATAAGCATGCATTGTGGCATCTAAAACGTATTGGAAAATACATGCATGTGAAAGTCATCTATGTTTTTATATCACAATGCTGGTCAACAACATTCTGCTGTTCGTTTGTCCAATAAGTTCCTGGCATTATTTTAGAATTGAATAATAGTTCTGTACATTTTAATCAATCAAATAATACAGGTTATTCAGACTCCTTAGATTCATTAGAGGATTGTAGCATATTTACCAAGACAAACTGTAGTGTTTCATCTGACAGACCATAAATCAGTTGAAATGTCAAAAGAATTAAGTAAATGACCTCATTGTAAATGCATTGTTTATTGTTTAATTTAGACTTTTAGTCATTTGCCAAATTGGATATACGTCTTAGTATGTTATAAATCATATATGAGAATTCGAGTCAAATCGGTGAACATGAATTTTACAGCTAATGTCCCTTTAAAGGGAGGTTATAGAAATTAATATTATGGACAATGATATCATCAAAGTGTTTTATTTTATTGATTTAAGCAACAAAAAACAAGTTAAAAAGATGCAGTTATATTTATCAACTACATGTATTTGAAATTTATGTGAAAAAATATATTTTTTATTTGTTTACTGTGACTTGACTGTAAGTGTTGCTTTCCACCTATTGCAGTTCATTCAAAATTCTGACCAGATTGCAATTTGTTTTATCAAACCAAACTTTAACTGGTCAGAAATTTCAACAAACTGCAGTCAAGTCGTGAAAGTGCAAGGACACCTTAGGTGATAAAATGAAGCATAATTACAATCTTATTAAACTTTAATTCCACTTCATTTATATTTTGAAAATATTTATAAGAATTTGTATACATTCTTTTATAAAATTGTAATTGTCATTCGAAAGTTTTATTGTCTTTCAAGACTTTCATTGCATTTACCCTGTTTTTTTTTCACATTTTGATAATTTTTTTATTTAAGAAATAATTGATGAATAAAATTCTTCTGATTTGGTCTTAAAAGTTCATACTGGAGTTCAATTTCGTTTTTAGTTAGGTACAACTGCTACAAATAAGATTTACATTTCAAAAGAGGAAATAGAAGAAATACTACATGTACTATGTGAGTGTTAACGAATCATGGTTCATAAATTTCCTACTTGGACAAGTACAAAAACTTTTAAAATTTACCATTGGTAAAGAGAGATTACTCCTGTTAATTTGATTCTTATCCAAACAAAAAAGATTGGTTTTGATTTGTAGAAGTGGATCTCCTGACTGTGTGAAGAGAATTGATCAAATTAAAACCCAGAAACATTTATTTATGTATTATACATGCACAAAAGTCCATTTTATTTGATGTATCCATGGTTACTTAATTTTCATCTATCTTGTCTGTTGACTCACAGAGTATGACATAAAAATAGTCACCTTCTGTCCCGAGGTCTGAAACACACTACTGAGACTGTCTGCCTGAAACTTTCATTTTTGTCGGGCCAGCAAAGAGTGTGAGACATAGGGATACTAATCTTATTGTGTTGACAACAAAAACTATTTATATATATATATAAGTATGTCTAATCAAGTTCGAATCTTGGAGAGGGAAGAACAAAAATTTGCTTCCTCAAATTATGCAGATTTAACAATGTTGTGCTGATATTTAGAGTATATATGACATATTAGGCATGAAGATGGAATTGATTGCAGATTAGCTAAATATCTATTGTAAAGGATCGTAAGATAAAGTACATCTAAACATATAGATATATATATATATATACAATGTGTATATATATGATGCTTTGTATCTTGCATACATATGCTTAATGTTCTAAAGTTTCAGTCTGGCATATATATGGCATTTGCCATTTACCTTATTTTCCGTCTGATTATGTAAGAATTTATATTTATATTGGTCAATAATTGCTTTCATGATTTGTTGATTGCCTCAGAGACATTAGCAATAAATAGCTTATGAGCAATAGGTCAACTTCATTTAGCAAATTAAATTATTTTAAGGTGAACATATCCATCTGGCAGGGGTTATTTGACCTTGACCTCATCTCTGTAGATCATAACAGAATTATTGACGTCATGTCGACAACAATCTCTTTTGCACTGTAGTGTCAGACATTCTCTCATATTACATGATCAAAATTTTAAGGGAAAGTCTGTAATATCCGGTAATGAAGAACAAATAATGATAATTATATTATTAAGATTTTGTATATTAAAGTTATAATTGACAGACAGCAGATCTTACAGGAAGGACTGTCAAGTTATTGCGACATCCAATCAAGCACTTAACTGACTAGATTTGATTGGATGTTTGCCAGTTAAGAGTCACTTACATCTTCATCTTCCTCTTCATACTTTCCTCTTTCCTTTTTCCTCTTGCCTGATCATCATACCATGTAAACTTGTCATGGTAAATATTTAACACTGCTCTTTTATAGAATTAGTTATTCTTTTGCAACAAAATTCAAAATTTTGTTTTTGCATCAAGATGATCAATACAGACTTCAAGAAGGGGTTGTTGATTTAGAAAAAAATAAAATAAGATGAAACACTTTAACATGTAGTCTGAACAGTCTAGGCAAATAATGAATTTCTTTTTACAATTTCCTTGTTGATTTGTTTTTAAATTATTATTAAACCTTATTTTGTTATCTTGGACAAATATCTCAGCTGTAGGCAGTAAATAATGAATTAGAATTCCATGTAGATTTCATATGATGGTAGGTTTGATTAAATCTTATTTGACTTTTTAGATGAATTTTAAAACTGTTATCTATGATTATATGCCTTTGGTCAATCCTACATAAGTTTTATTTCAATGATTCAGGCATGCTTCAATGACTTTTGTTGAAAAAATACAAATATCTTGATATATATAGTTTAGTTATTGAAGTTCTTATACCTGTATTTTATCATGTTTATGTAAACTGCTCATGCATTTGTCATTCATCACCATGATCACTGTAAATTGAAGGGTACTTTCTTATTACAGGCTGTTTAGAAAATAAAACACTCTTTATATTTGTGATCATGTTATGATGTATCAAAGTATTCCAGAAAGGAAAATTGCAATCATGTATGCAGTAGGGGGGATGACATGCTTTTGGGGTGTGGGATATAGGGGGTAAAAAAGTGGGAATGTAGGAGACATGAATACAAATAAGTGGGATCTGGGGAAAAGAAGAAAAATGGAAAGTTGGAAAAAATTACATTGTAGTATTTGATTTAGAATATGGAAACCACTTCCTGCATATATTTCAATCATTTTTAGCTCACCCTTTCTAAAGGAAATGTGAGCTTTTGCCATCACTTGGTGTCCGTCGTCTGTCGTTGTCGTCCGTCCGGCGTAAACTATTTCAAA